CAAATCGATCACAACTATGTATTCATAGTGGTCATCTACTCATACAATAAAAATAAGTACAAGAAATTCATAAACAAAAGATAAATTGGAATGAATCGAATAAAACATATATCATAAATCAATCCGAGTGCTAATAAATCCTAGCATCTAAAGTAAATATAGCCTAAGAAAATGATTATAAAATCAAGAAAATAAATATAAATCATTGAGTTCAAAAATAGAGAAAAAAAAAAGCTTATTCGCTTTCGTCCATCTCTTTTTTCTAACTTTGTTGCTCGTCCTGTGCGTGTTCCTTGCTTCCTAAAGTATCTGAAGCTTTAAAAACATGCAAGAATTAAACAAGCAAGCATTTCAGGCCATAACAATGGAACCAAATAATACTACAAAGCTGAGTTAAGCAGACTTCCACAAAAATGGTTGCGTTCATACATACATTACTCACACAAACTCGACATTATACTCTCCGAGTTCAACCGCCCGCTTTAACATCCTCTCTGAGGCCAAAAGGTTAGCTCATGGTTCAGATTATAACCTTATGTGCCAGGAAGTATAAGGCCATAACTTTCAGTGTGTCTATATTAGTGTTAGAGCTGCCTTCTCGACCTCAGAGTACCTTTATTCAGCGCCTTGTAACACGCGATTGGCATAGTTGGTCGGCTTTTATCGACCATCTTTATTCTACAACAAGACCGAGCTGATGAACACCTTACATATTGACAAGTACAGCACTAGCTCTTCTTAGGGGTTTGGTTTGGTGAGTAGGGGCAACTCTGCCGGTGATTTTTTAAGCTAACTATAATCTTGCTCAGCTTGGAGCATCCACTCAAATCTTGATCCCTTACTGCTCGAGAAATAGGGAACTCTTTCCGCGAATGGGGCAATGAACTTCCTCAGCCCAAAAACATGTCCTATGAGGACTTGGACTTCTCTGAGATTCTTAGGGGCTTATATTTCGAGCACTGGTTTGACTATTTATGGATGACCTTGATCCCTATCTTTGTGACTATGTAGCCTAGGAGTTTTTCGTACCTAACCCAAAACTTACATTTTGCTAGATTCAGCTTCATGTCATAGCTCCTCAATGTGTCGTACATCTCCGTCAGATCGGCGACGTGGTTCTAAGTTTGTATGCTCTTCACGAGCATGTCGTCCATGTAAACCTCCGTGCTTCATTCGATCTGGTCTTGAAACATCTTATCCACCAGCCTTTGGTAGGTTGCTTCTGTGTTCTTGAACCCGAAAGGCATCACCACGTAACAATATGTTCCTTTGGACTTCACGAAGCTGACTCTCTTTCGATCTTCAACTGCTAGACGTATCTGGTGATATCTTGCGAGGCATCCATCATGTTGAGGAGCTTGCAACCTGCCGTTGATTCCACTAATTGGTCCAACTACCCTGCTTTATTAATTTTTTTTATTCCTTATGGGTTATCCCAATGGGCATCACTTTATTTTCACGGCTTTTGGAAGATTTCCAAATCCCAAATCCATTTAATCAATCAATATGAATCCATCAGGTACACTTCCGCTATTTGGTTCTGGTTCTCGATTATTCAATATGAACGCGCTTGGGATTAATATTGATTTATTTCGAGTAAAGTTAAATCCAATTCTATCAATTGGTATCATCATTCAGGCATGCTTTATTTAGATCTTTGAAGTCAATACACATCCGTCATTTCCCTTAGCTCTTCTTTACCATGATTGCATTAGACATCCACTCTGGGAACTGTATGGGTTTGATATGTCATGCTTTCAATACTTGTCGACTTCTACTTCGGTAACTTTCTGTAATTCGGCGACAAAGTGTCTCTGCTTGGCTGGTTTTACCGTTGGGTTATTATTGAGTCGGTGCTCAAAGGTTGTAGAATTTATGCCCATTAGACCGTCTGTCAAAAACTGCAAAGATATCTACGAACTCTCTTTGGAGACCGGTTAAGGGCATTTAGACATTCACCGCGAGATGGTGACATACTTTAGTGGCCTAATCGACCTCACCTTTCACGAGCTTAACCTCCATGAGCTCATCCTTTGACGAGATCTCAAGCTTCTCCTACTTATTGTTTCTGTTTTAGCTCTCCAGGTGATCCACCTTTGGACTTTTCTTTGCTCTTTAGGCTCCTGAGCTCTTCAGCATGACCTAGTAGCACCTAAGGGCTTGTTGTTGTTCTTTTGAGACCTAACCGACCTGGTTGCCCACTGGTGAAATTAGTTTCATGCAGTAGGTGTTGGGTTCGATATACTGTACGGAACAGAGTTTGCAGCGGAATTTAAAATTTTATAAGTATTTATCTCATAAATACTTATTCCGTACATAAGTATAACGAGATAAC